CACGCACGTGTACTATTGTTTACCAGGGGCCTGTTCGTGTATGCGGAGCAACCGGTTTGACCGTTTATAAATGTAACAATTTCGGGTATAAATCCTGGCGGACCTGCAAATGTATATGCAGGCCTTGCAAGGCTTTCTCACGGCTCGCCTGAAAGCAGCATCAGATTACTAGGTCCGACCTTATTTAATAAACGAACAACAGTGGTCCGATCGGTTTGACCGTTTAAACGAAAACGGCCAAGGTGTAACTATAATTTGCACAACGACATCGAATGCCCGATACGCAATACGGAAATGACGACACGGTGTACATGCACATTTCGATCAAGATAATTGAGTCCGAGCTGTACTTTTTCCGGAAGTACGTCACGAAAATGGACGCTGATGACGATGTGTGGAGCCACCTTAAGGCCCAACTTTTAATGAAACAAGATTTACGTTCATGTTCAAAGAAAGTCACATCTTGACAAATTACCCAATTTAAGGCTATGGCTACAGTTTATGATGTTAAAACTATTGTCTACAACTGCAGTATAGGATGACATAACATGCCTACAACTGCATAATATGATGGTATAAACCGCATACAACTGCAGTATATGATGGCATAACTGACATATAACTGCAGTATATGATGATTTGTCACCCTTCTAATTTGTAACACTCTTTCTGATTGGATATCTTGCCGGGTCTATATTTCTATAGACCCCGCTCTGCCGGGGTCTATAAAAGCATGTGCAAGGGGAGATAACTCAAACTAGAATCTCTCTTCATAACACAAAGATGGCGTCCGACACACACAAGCGTTCGAGGTGTGCCAATCATTCACATGATAAAATAGCCTACTTTCAAAAGAACTTTGTGCCTTGACTGAGCGCACATCCCGTGGACAGCTATCTTCTATCAGAAGGAGTCCACGTATTTATACAGATACTGCCTCACAGTAGCCTTCGGCTCGGGGTCTATAAAAACCAGATGGGGTCTATGAGCCCGTAGACCCCTTCTAGCCCAGATATAACTAATAATAACTGTGACCAATAACTGCAGTATATGATGGTATAAACTCGCCTACAACTGCAGTACATGATTGAATAACTGTCACATACAGCTGCAGTATATGATGGTATAACTGTCACATACAGATGTGGTATATGCTGGTATAACTGTCACATACAGCTGCAGTATATGATGGTATAACTGTCACATACAGCTGCAGTATATGATTGTATAACTGTCACATACAGATGTGGTATATGATGTTATAACTGTCACATACAGCTGCAGTATATGATGGTATAACTGTCACATACAGCTGCAGTATATGATGGTATAACTGTCACATACAGATGTGGTATATGATGGTATAACTGTCACATACAGATGTGGTATATGATGGTATAACTGTCACATACAGCTGCAGTATATGATGGTATAACTGTCACATACAGATGTGGTATATGATGGTATAACTGTCACATACAGATGTGGTATATGATGGTATAACTGTCACATACAGCTGCAGTATATGATGGTATAACTGTCACATACAGATGTGGTATATGATGGTATAACTGTCACATACAGATGTGGTATATGATGGTATAACTGTCACATACAGATGTGGTATATGATGGTATAACTGTCACATACAGCTGCAGTATATGATGGTATAACTGTCACATACAGATGTGGTATATGATGGTATAACTGTCACATACAGATGTGGTATATGATGGTATAACTGTCACATACAGCTGCAGTATATGATGGTATAACTGTCACATACAGATGTGGTATATGATGGTATAACTGTCACATACAGATGTGGTATATGATGGTATAACTGTCACATACAGATGCAGTATATGATGGTATAACTGTCACATACAGATGTGGTATATGATGGTATAACTGTCACATACAGATGTGGTATATGATGGTATAACTGTCACATACAGATGTGGTATATGATGGTATAACTGTCACATACAGATGTGGTATATGATGGTATAACTGTCACATACAGATGTGGTATATGATGGTATAACTGTCACATACAGATGTGGTATATGATGGTATAACTGTCACATACAGATGCAGTATATGATGGTATAACTGTCACATACAGCTGCAGTATATGATGGTATAACTGTCACATACAGATGTGGTATATGATGGTATAACTGTCACATACAGCTGCAGTATATGATGGTATAACTGTCTCATACAGCTGCAGTATATAATGGTATAACTGTCACATACAGATTTGGTATATGATGGTTTAACTGTCACATACAGCTGCAGTATATGATGGTATAACTGTCACATACAGATGTGGTATATGATGGTATAACTGTCACCTACAACTGCAGTATATGATGGTATAACTGTCACCTACAACTGCAGTTTATAATGGTATAACTGTCACCTATAGTTGCAGTTAATGATTGTACAACTCGCCTATAACTGCGGTTTATGATGGTATACCTCTCGCTTACAACTGCGGTATATTATGGTATAACTTCAGTATATGATGGTATAACTGTCATAACAACTGCAGTATATGGTATTGGTGATATTGCCTAAATTCAATTTCAATTTCAAGAGTCAATTTCAACATGTTTTTAACTTCCACAAGTTATAACTTTATCTAGATAATGCTTGCTCATGATTTGGAATTTGAAATCCAAAATAGCCATCCTGTCTTCCGATAAGTTGAGAAATGTTGTTTTTTTGGTATCAATTGACCACACATATTTTAAGGCAGTGTCGTACAAATATTCCTGTCTTAAGCTTCGTCTTTATCAAGTATTATTTTATTTGTTGGGTTTAGATAACTAAACAAACAAGTCGGTGAAACAAGCCCAATAGGCCTCTTGTTTATTATGAAAATATACAAGAATAAAAACATATCCACTATGTTGCAGATGAATTGAACAGTTACCTAAAAATGGTTTAAGAAGGATTGAAGGACCTAGGTAGCAAAACTGAAAACTAATAAATATGGCTTCTATCCATCTAACATGGCAGACCTTGGGAAAAGGAGCATACTAAGGGATTGTTTTACTAGTATGTGGCCTGTCACGAGCCCCTGTAAATCTCCCCTGCCCCCTTTAGCATTTTCATAAGCTCCCACCCCCTCTAAAATATTCACTGAGAAGGGCAAAGTGCATCTTTAAAGTGTTACGTTAATCAGGGGGGGACACAGCAATTAATTTGGGTGTTGCCCAAAATGTTAAACTCGGAAAAAGACCGATTTTGCCCTTATCTAGAACTTATAAATTAGAACTGTCATGTCAGTTTACTTGTATTCTACTTTATGCCACCAAAAAATATATAGAACTTCCCTTTAATCTTTAAAGGGTTCCCACTCCTAAAACTTTATTTTTACAGTGGTGATTGCAGCATACAAAAACGCTGGGAAGGATGAAGGGTGGGAAAGGGATAATAAACTATGAACTGTAAACATGATGCGTTTTAAATCCCTTGGTTAATATTTTGTGCTATTTTTTATAGTCCAATAATACACGGTTTATCATTGCTAAAAGCAGCCACGATATGGCTTCTACCGCCAATTGTATTTGATTTAGCACCTTGTCTCAATTATCTACCGTGAAGCCTATGTTCTGTTCTTGGGGAATAATCTTCATCGACTAGCTAAATACTTTTTCTTTTGGGGTTATAAGCCTATATAGATTTTTGGTTTGAAAAAAAGGTGTCCTGGAGACGGATTTGGTTAGTTCGGACCTTCGTTCACTGTGTAGACTACACATAGCAGCTTGTTGATAACTTCATAAAATCATGAAAAATTATCTTTAGCTTTGAGCAGAGCTCAACTGTACAACAGCAGTAGAAATTATATTGTAGCGCAGTAGCAGAAGTTGTTGAACGTGACGGGGACAAACAGGATAGGTGGATCGTAGTTTGCATCATCCACGGTGATGATGATCCAGGTGTAGTAATTGTCCTCCTCTGTACATTGACCGTGCTGGCAGGTCGCTCCGGCACTGAACAAAAAGATAAACTAGTATAGTCTTAACGGCACTGAATAAAAAGATAAACGAGTAAAGTCTCACCGGCACTGAATAAAAAGATAAACTAGTAAAGTCTAAACGGCACTGAATAAAAAGATAAATTAGTAAAGTCTAAACGGCACTGAATAAAAAGATAAACTAGTAAAATCTAAACGGCACTGAATAAAAAGATAAACGAGTAAAGTCTCAACGGCACTGAATAAAAAGATAAACGAGTGAAGTCCCAACGGCACTGAATAAAAAGATTAACTAGTAAAGTATAAACGGCACTGAATAAAAAGACAACCTTGTAAAGTCTCACCGGCACTGGATAAAAAGATAAACTAGTAAAATCTAACCGGCACTGAATAAAAAGATAAACGAGTGAAGTCCCAACGGCACTGAATAAAAAAGATAAACGAGTAAAGTCTCACCGGTACTGAATAAAAAGATAAACGAGAAAAGTCTCAACGGCCCTGAATAAAAAGATAAACTAGAATAGTCTTTACGGCACTGAATAAAAAGACAAACGTGTAAAGTCTCACCGGCACTGGATAAAAAGATAAACTAGTATATTCTCAACGGCACTGAATAAAAAAGATAAACGAGTAAAGTCTCACCGGTACTGAATAAAAAGATAAACGAGTGAAGTCCCAACGGCACTGAATAAAAAAGATAAACGAGTAAAGTCTCACCGGTACTGAATAAAAAGATAAACGAGTAAAGTCCCAACGGCACTGAATAAAAAAATAAACGAGTAGAGTCTCAGAGTAAAGTCTCACCGGCACTGAATAAAAAGATAAACTAGTATAGTCTTAACTGCACTGAATAAAAAGATAAACTAGTATAGTCTCAACGGCACTGAATAAAAAGATAAACTAGAATAGTCTCAACGGCACTGAATAAAAAGATAAACTAGTAAAGTCTCACCGGCACTGAATAAAAAGATAAACTAGTATAGTCTCAACGGCACTGAATAAAAAGATAAACGAGTAGTCTCACCGGCACTGAATAAAAAGACAAACTAGTAAAGTATCAACGGCACTGAATAAAAAGATAAACGAGTAGTCTCACCGGCACTGAATAAAAAGACAAACTAGTAAAGTATCAACGGCCCTGAATAAAAAGATAAACGAGTAGAGTCTCACCGGCACTGAATAAAAAGACAAACTAGTAAAGTATCAACGGCACTGAATAAAAAGATAAACGAGTAGAGCCTCACCGGCACTGAATAAAAAGATAAACGAGTAAAGCCTCACCGGCACTGAATAAAAAGATAAACTAGTAAAGTATCAACGGCACTGAATAAAAAGATAAACGAGTAGTCTCACCGGCACTGAATAAAAAGACAAACTAGTAAAGTATCAACGGCCCTGAATAAAAAGATAAACGAGTAGAGTCTCACCGGCACTGAATAAAAAGATAAACTAGTATAGCCTCAACGGCACTGAATAAAAAGATAAACTAGAATAGTCTTAACTGCACTGAATAAAAAGATAAACTAGTATATTCTCAACGGCACTGAATAAAAAGATAAACGAGTAAAGCCTCACCGGCACTGAATAAAAAGATAAACTAGTATGGTCTTAACTGCACTGAATAAAAAGATAAACTAGTATATTCTCAACGGCACTGAATAAAAAGATAAACGAGTAAAGCCTCACCGGCACTGAATAAAAAGATAAACTAGAATAGTCTTAACTGCACTGAATAAAAAGATAAACTAGTATATTCTCAACGGCACTGAATAAAAAGATAAACGAGTAGAGCCTCACCGGCACTGAATAAAAAGATAAACGAGTAAAGCCTCACCGGCACTGAATAAAAAGATAAACTAGTAAAGTCTCGACGGCACTGAATAAAAAGATAAACTAGTAAAGTCTCAACGGCGCTGAATAAAAAGATAAACGAGTAAAGTCTCAACGGCACTGAATAAACTAGAATAGTCTCAACGGCACTGAATAAAAAGATAAACTAATAAAGTCTCAACGGCACTGAATAAAAAGATAAACTAGTATAGTCTTTACGGCACTGAATAAAAAGATAAACGAGTAGAGTCTCCCCGGCACTGAATAAAAAGATAAACTAGTAAAGTATCAACGGCACTGAATAAAAAGATAAACGAGTAGAGTCTCACCGGCACTGAATAAAAAGACAAACTAGTAAAGTATCAACGGCACTGAATAAAAAGATAAACGAGTAAAGCCTCACCGGCACTGAATAAAAAGATAAACTAGTAAAGTCTCAACGGCACTAAAAGATAAACGAGTAGAGTCTCACCGGTACTGAATAAAAAGATAAACTAGTAAAGTCTCAACGGCGCTGAATAAAAAGATAAACGAGTAAAGTCTCAACGGCACTGAAAAAAAAGATAAACGAGTAAAGTCTCAACGGCACTGAAAAAAAAGATAAACGAGTAAAGTCTCAACGGCACTGAATAAAAAGATAAACGAGAAGAGTCTCACCGGCACTGAATAAAAAGACAAACTAGTAAAGTATCAACGGCACTGAATAAAAAGATAAACGAGTAGTCTCACCGGCACTGAATAAAAAGACAAACTAGTAAAGTATCAACGGCCCTGAATAAAAAGATAAACGAGTAGAGTCTCACCGGCACTGAATAAAAAGATAAACTAGTAAAGTCTCACCGGCACTCAATAAAAAGATAAACTAGTATAGTCTCAACGGCACTGAATAAAAAGATAAACTAGTATAGTCTCAACGGAGTCGCACCGGCACTGAATAAAAAGATAAACTAGTATAGCCTCAACGGCACTGAATAAAAAGATAAACTAGAATAGTCTCAACGGCACTGAATAAAAAGATAAACTAGAATAGTCTCAACGGCACTGAATAAAAAGATAAACTAGAATAGTCTTAACTGCACTGAATAAAAAGATAAACTAGTATATTCTCAACGGCACTGAATAAAAAGATAAACGAGTAGAGTCTCACCGGAACTGAATAAAAAGATAAACGAGTAAAGTCTCAACGGCACTGAATAAAAAGATAAACGAGTGAAGTCCCAACGGCACTGAATAAAAAGATAAACGAGTAGAGTCTCAACGGCACTGAATAAAAAGATAAACGAGTAAAGTCTCAACGGCACTGAATAAAAAGATTAACTAGTAAAGTCTCAACGACACTGAATAAAAAGATAAACGAGTAAAGTCTCAACGGCACTGAATAAAAAGATTAACTAGTAAAGTCTGAACGGCACTGAATATAAAGATAAACGAGTAAAGTCTCAACGGCACTGAATAAAAAGACAAACCAGTAAAGTCTTAACGGCACTGAATAAAAAGATAAACTAGTATAGTCTCAACGGCACTGAATAAAAAGCTAAACGAGTAAAGTCTAAACGGCACTGAATAAAAAGATAAACTAGTATAGTCTCAACGGCACTGAATAAAAAGATAAACTAGTATAGTCTTTACGGCACTGAATAAAAAGATAAACGAGTAGAGTCTCACCGGCACTGAATAAAAAGATAAACGAGTAAAGTCTCACCGGCACTGAATAAAAAGATAAACTAGTAAATTCTCAACGGCACTGAATAAAAAGATAAACGAGTAAAGTCTCAACGGCCCGGAATAAAAAGATAAACTAGTATAGTCTTCACGGCACTGGATAACAAGATTAACTAGTAAAGTTTAAACGGCACTGAATAAAAAGATAAACTAGTATAGTCTTAACGGCACTGAATAAAAATATATACTCGTAAAGTCTTAACGGCACTGAATAAAAAGATAAACTAGTAAAGTCCCAACGGCACTGAATAAAAAGATAAATACTCAAGTTTAACCGGCACTATAACACAACAAACATTCAAAGTAAGGGAAGGATATCGGGTTTACAGCAGACCTTTCTAATTTCGGATTTTATAACCTAGGTCCTTAACTAAATGATTCAAACATAATGAGATGTTCCCCAAATCGTGACAAGTGTTTATCATGTGTGTCGAACAATTCTTTTAAAAACTGAAAGAAAAACTGACTTGAGTTAAATGAACATGATACACGCAGCCATTAATTGTGGGACATCTCTTTATAAAATCTTTCCGTTAGGACTACCTTCAGATGGCGACCACACAAAAGCATGTTACTTAAAACATATTACCCGTATATTATGATTGTAATATACAATTGCATCATCATTAATCCTTTTAATTGAAATCGAATTATTTACGGGGAAATATATTTCACTTTTATTAGAGTGTTACCCCAATAGCCTATCATATAAACGGGGTTTTATGGACAACATAACATTATCAAATAACGTTTTTATGTTTAACACGAGTAATATCACCAAGTGTGACGTCATAAGGAGCATAACGATGGTTTTAACTATCGAAAACAAATCACAAAATGTGAAAATAAGTATCATCTGGCTGAGTATATTTACATTCAGCATCATTTGCATTACATACATTGTATTATATATTTGTTTTAAGACATTGGGCTTTAGTGAGTTTGAGATTCTGTATTCAATTAAAGAAATCACAAAATGTGATTTTACATTCAACATCATTTGCATTACAGACATCGTGTTATATATTTGTTTTAAGACATTGGGCTTTAGTGAGTTTAAGATTCTGTATTCAATTAAAGAATTCACAAAATGTGATAATTAGTAACATCTGGCTGTATTCAATTAAAGAAAACATGTGAAGACAAAATAGGCCTCCCTGAAGAACCCCCCGTCTCCATTGTAGTTACTGTGTGTGCTTTTTGAGTAAAGATACTCACCCACATTGTCCCTGGAAGACGAGCTGGTACCCCGCGTCGGGCTGGTAAACATCGTAGTCTCTGCCGTTGTATTCTACAATTTCGGGGGAGACGCACGACCAGGTTCTGGAAAGAAACAAAAATAACTTTTGTGACACAACTCTGTCGTAGTCGAAAGATAATATGTAGGTTACTTAATAGTGGCTATCTGTATACATGTATTCGGGTTTATTCGCGAAACCGAACTGGATATGCTGGTCTTAGCACAACGTTTAGGACCTACATCTTTTCTCCTACCTACTCTTTTCTCTCGGCTGTGTCTTAGGTCAACCGCTTGAAAGTCCCTCGTCAGAAATAAATGTAATACTATTTTATCCAGGATATAGCGTTTCAATGAGATCGCGTTTTAAAACGCTCCTTGAGTTTGCATAACACAAATGGTTGTGCGTCAGTCTGTTGACCGTAAGGCCAAATGTTCGATCCCCGGCGGGATGATGTGGTTGTGTCCTTGAGGAAGGCACATTAATCATGTTTCTGACTCCGCCTTCCCTGTTTGGAGGATTTGTTTTTGGTCCGATATTACGGTTTCTGTGTGGAAGTATTCAGGTAAATTAAAGGACTGTTTGAAAAACAGACCCATTACAAACAGAACACTAAATAAACCCAAACATCTATACTACCTATCCGTGTATTCTAGTGCTCCTAACAGAGCCTATTCATTGTGTGTATGAAATCATGTATTATAAAAAAGTTAACTTACGTTTCACAACAGTAGCTAGCGGCGGCGGATCGTTGATGGTGGAGTTTACGCCTGAGGTAGTCCTGTAATTGGCGTTCGGGTAGGTCATTTGGGTCATTTGTTGTAGTCCATTTTTTCGATTGTTTGATTTTGGCTTCTTGCCGCTTAAATGTTTTGTCCAAGATGTCCGTTTTTGTATAAAACATATTAGAGAGGACACTGTCGTAGCTGCAGTACTTATATTTCTTTGAAGACCAAATTTCATCATAACTTTTGTTTTGACATTTGGATTCTTTTTCTCCTGGCCGTTTTCCTCCTGACCCGTGGCCTCCTGACCCGTGGCCTCCTGACTCGTGACCTCCGGACCTTTTAGATCTTCCGTATCCTTGTCCGTCAGTCTGGCCGTACACCAAAACAGTCCCACACATTAACACCACTAAGAGGCAATTCATTTTCAGCTAGAAACAAAAAACAAAACTGGATATTAATAATGCGAGGGAAGAACTGTGGCACCGTTATAAGTCGAGAGGATTTTGAGGCCCGAATGAAATGCATATTTATGTTGAATGGTTCGCACCTATCAGTCAAGCAGCAAGCTATGTAATAGTACAATAGTCTATATAAAAACAGGAAGAATTAATGATTGAAAATGGCCGTTTTTATTAAAACGACATAACATAAAAATACATGTTACAATACATGTACTGTTTTTAGTACACTTTGAGTTGTATTCTATGCACTCACGTGGTGAGATTGAAAGTCAGGCCAAACGTAGCTACTTTACAACAAATTTCTACGAATCGGCTGTTTAATTTGTGGGAAAGCCAGTTCTATCAATTGTAATTTATACACGCATGTGTTCATTTTATATTAATTGACTTCAATGATATAAGATTTAAAAAAACACCTTTTTGCACACTTGAGGTTGCTGTCGATCTTACATTGACAAGTTCAGCTGTCAAACAACATACCAGGTTTTGAGGGAGCCTGAAGTTGGTTCCTAGTTCCTAGTTCCTAGTTCCGTTTAAGATAAACGGAACTAGGAACCAGACCCTAGTTTCGTTTAAAATAAACGGAACTGGGAACCAGATCGGGGTCCGTATAGTAAACGTCCCTGTTTGTTTTTTTTGTAATTCTTTCCCTGTCTACTTCGCAAAACGGAAGGTCAAAGTCCCGTAGTTATATCTGAAACAAGGACAGGAATCAGTGTCAGACTCCAGTTACGATTTTCCTTAAACGGAACTGGGAACCAGACCGGGGTCCGTATAGTAAACGTCCATGTTTGTTTTTTTTGTAATTCTTTCCCTGTCTACTTCGCAAAAAGGAAGGTCAAAGTCCCGTAGTTATATCTGAAACAAGGACAGGAATCAGTGTCAGACTCCAGTCACGATTTTCCTTAAACGGAACTGGGAACCAGACCCCAGTTCCGTATAGTAAACGTATATGTTTTTCGTAATTGTTTCCCTGTCTACCTCGCAAAACGAAAGTTCAAAGGTGATGGTTATAACTGAATCCAGTACAGGAACCAAACCCACAACCTTTCACACGAAAAGTAAGACCACCAAAGCCTCTATAAAGTAATTGGTCTTATACGGAACTGAGTGTCAGACTCCAGTTACGTTTTTCCTTAAACGGAACTGGGAACCAGACCCCAGTTCCGTTTAACATAAACGGAACTATGACCAGACCGGGGTCCCTATAGTAAACGTCTATGTTATTTTGTAATTCTTTCCCTGTCTACTTCGCAAAACGAAAGTTCAAATGTGATGGTTATAACTGAATACAGTACAGGAATCGAACCCACAACCTTTCACACGAAAAGTAAGACCACCATAGCCTCTATAAAGTAATTGGTCTTATACGGAACTTAGTGGCAGACTCCAGTTACGTTTTTCCTTAAACGGAACTAGGAACCAGACCCTAGTTCCGTTTAACATAAACGGAACTGGGAACCAGACCGGGGTCCGTATAGTAAACGTCTATGGTGTTTTTTTTGTAATTCTTTCCCTGTCTACTTCGCAAAACGAAAGTTCAAATGTAATGGTTATAACTGAATCCAGTACAGGAATCGAACCCACAACCTTTCACACGAAAATTAAGACCTCCATAGCCTCTATAAAGTAATTGGTCTTATACGGAACTGAGTGTCAGACTCCAGTTACGTTTTTCCTTAAACGGAACT